TGTTTTGAAATTTATAGAAAGTTTATGCCCTTTAGTTTTATCAGTCGTCAATGATCCACACTCTTCTGGTTGTATATTGTCTATATCCTGCTCAGTCAATGCCCAGGTTTCCAGACCAAGATCTGCTTTCCCAGAATTTTCACTGGAGTCCAACTCTGCCATTCCAAATATGGTAGACTTGCCAGGAAAGGCCTTACTTCTATATCCTTTTCTGCTGGACCTTCTCTGGGAGTCTGAACACAAGACTCTTTACCTTAAAGCCATGATGTCTCTGCCTAACACACTTCAAAGGCTCCATAGTTGTGTTCTGAATCTCCGAATCATGCAACTTTTCCTTCATTACATGTTCTGATGAGGCATATGCTTTTTGGCTGGCCTTACAATTTTATTTGTTATCAGTTTGCAGCTGCAGTAAATTTAAGGATGAAGCAGATTCGGGACTTATAATTAGCTTCAGAGTAATGTGAAAATTTAGCTTATATGTCACCTAAAACAGTCATTTCAGGAACAGTTGTACTCTGAATCAATCCAGAATACTGGATTGTCAAACTGCCAGCCTCAACAGGACTGACAACAACATCAACAACTGGATTATATACATCAGAATCGGGTGATGATTCTGGATCAAGCGAACGCCTGTCAGTGACTGTTTTCACAAAGGTTTTAGAACTGACACAAGATGAGACCCCAGGGTACTCGTCCAGCATGTTCTCAGAAGATGCATCTTGTGTTAAATAACTTTCCACATCCTTATCACCCTTCTGTCCATCCCATTGAAGAGACTTCTCACTGGAAGTGGGCACACATGTCAATGGTTTGCAATCAATTTCACCAGACTTACTCAGCAGGGCAACTCAAATTGGCCAGGACATCATTACCGAGTTCTATAGAATGATGTGAATCAACCACATTAGTAAACTTTGGATGCAGACATTTGATTCTATAGGTGCATGGAATGAGATGAGAAAGAACATTGAGTTTCTGGTGATCTAGTATTCCTGTCTCCATGAACCATTTGTGTTTGCCTTCTAGCTCTACAACACTGACTAATCTTCAAAATTTTCTGAATCTGAGCACGATGAAAATCGGATGCTGCAGGCTCATTATTTTCCTTGACATGCATTACTAAGCTGCCAGTTTCCCCCCAAGCAGATTCCCATGTCATTCTGTCAAAGCAGCTTCTTTTCCTTCTGACTTTATTCATCTTATCAGTAATGTTTGAAAATGAAGTAATGACATCAGCTGCCTTATTATATTTACTCACACTATTCCTTTTTCTGGCTAAGCAATTAGGCCTCGTATCAGTTTGATTATTCCTTGAGGCAGCAGCTTGCTTTGGATTAGTTCGCCTTAAGACAATCAAAAGAACAGAACTTGAATCGGCAATTCCTCCATCACTCACCTGAGCACAAGAATCATTTACATTGCTACAGCAAGTAGACACTGCACTAACAATATTTGTGAATTTTCTCTCGCAATCTGTTGTCAGCAAGGGGTCAGAAGCATGATCCACTGCAGCTCTAAATAAGGAAGATGATTGCAGATAGGAAGATCCTTCCACTGAGAAGCATGACATGACTTCCTTGAGTGAACCTCCACTTAGCCCTCTTGGTATGCATGATATCTGGCAACCATCTCTAACAACAGCCTGTTCACTTGAGGGTTAATTTTTCTCTGAATGATCACAAACACCACCTTTCCGACATCTCATACAACTTGGAGTTAGCCCCTTACCATTTTCTGAATCAAATGGCTTATGTTTTTCACGATTGTCATTGTTTAAGCAAAGGATGTTATCTTTGCAAGCACTACTATCCATTTTCTCTAAATTTGAGAGGAGTGCATTATCAAAATTTTCTTCCACCAATGTTCTTTCACAACACATAGAAGAACCTAAGGACTTTTCAGGAAGAGAAGAGTAAGACACATCCACTTCTTTGGTGGTTTGCTCATCAGTACTTATCAAGAGACAATTGGCAGTCAATTCAGAAGAAACAAGAGGGACACTCTCACATCTGTTGCAAACCTTATATTCATAAAAATGTCCATTAGCATCTCCAACTTCTATAACAGTATGAATCCACAACTTGTTGACAACAGTGATGGGATGTAATTTCATCTGCTCTTCTTCATCAGCCATCTTGCAACACTGGATAAAATGTTTGTCTCCTAAGCCAAAATGGCTACTTTTTTCGATGGTCCCAACAGAGCCCTTGCACATTTCCTCAGCCTCCTCCCTCTCCCCAACAGTAAAAGAAGTACCATTCCCATCAACATGTAAACAAGTTTTCTCCAAAAATTGTCTAGCCCCTAACCCAGCATCCTCAACCCCCTTCCTCTCCCGGTTATTAGAAGTATCACATCATTATGAGAACAAGTTGCCTCCAAAAATTCTCTAGCACAGGTCCCTGCATCCTCAAACGCAGTCACTTCATCTTCAGCCATATCTGGTGTCTTAAAAAATGGTTCTTTCTGTAGGACAATGTGTCCAGTCTCTTCCTGAGCAAGCACAAACTTGTCACAGCCTTTATCAACTGCCTTCATATCCGAAAGCTTTATTTCCAGAGTCAGAAAAAGTACCAATGTGGTAACACGATTTACAGAGAGGCAAGGCCACCTGCTCAATTATCCCAAAACCCACGCAAGTAACACTGGAATCTTCGGCTCCAACTGCCTTTGAGTTCTCAGTACAGATTCTTTGTTCCGGGGCAACATGATTACTCTCTCTCAGAATCAACAAAGTCCCCATTTTCTTCCTCCATTTCCTTTGTCTCCTTCACCAATACTTCATGCTAACTATCAACGTCCAAAAAAGAGTTGCTGTCATCGCAAGGACAAGAGACCCTATTAACATTTTCTAATCCCTGATCACCTGCATCAGCATCACCATCTACTAACATGCTGCCCTCGACACTGGAATTTTCTGCTGCAATTTCCTATGAATTCTCAACTGAGACTCTTGGTTCTAAGACAAGATCATGACTATCTTTGGCAGCTACAACGACCCCTCGAGAGACTTCCCCCACTTCCCTAATCCCAACCAATACTTCATGCTCGTTTCCAACATCCAAAAAAGAGCTACTATCACATCACATGAACAAGAACCTCCGCTCACCATTTCCAAAGTCTTACTACCTGCACCGGCATTGCCATCTATAAACACGCATTCTCACCATCAACAATTACATATCGACTCACCTCAAGAATTCCTTCATCAATTCCTCCAGGTAGTCCATGCATGTCAACTGGATCGCCGTAGGACGCCGTAGCACCCCCTCATCCCCACACCATACCCAGATAACTTGACAGGTAATCCAGCACCCTGAAACAGGGAACAAAAAAAGAGAAAGAAAACGGTCAATGCATCATCTCACAAAACCAAATCTTTTTCCGCAAAACTCTGCAAAAATCAAAATCATACAAAAATAAACGAATCCACGAAAACCCCCACGAAAACGTAAACCGAAACAACCGCCCAAAAAATCCAAGAAAATTAAAAACCCTAATCGTAGCAACAGCAGCAATCAACCCGACAGGCTTCAGAAAGCAATCCAATCATCATCGTGAAAAGACCAAAAAAAAAAAAAAAAAAACAAAATTAACGCAAGAAAGGAAAATGGCGGCGGAGCGCCGTCGCTTCGACGCCCGAAGCGGACGAGAGAAGGAGTAGATTGAGCTCACGATCTCTTCTTCGTCGGCGTTGAAGAGACATCTTCTTCTCTCTTTCGGTTGGTGAATAAAAGCAGGAAAAACAGGTGGGAACACGATACCTCCTCCAAGTCGCCCATAGTCTTACCTGCTCGAGCAAAAACAAGGGCCCCACTGCGGATCCCACCGGTGCTTAGCGTTTGCCTCCAATGATTCGTCCCCACGTCAGGCGTGTAATCACTATATGCGTTCTCTCGGTCTTTTTGGAACGGAAAGGGGTAAAAGTTATTTAATATTTTTTAATAAAATTAAAAAATGACGTGGCGTTGGATGAGTAACGATACATTAATTTACGTGCCTAAATTATATGGGGGCAAATCGACACGTTTATAATAATCACTGTTGGACGTAAAGGACCCAATCAAACCCAAATGGGACCGCCGTCCGATCAATATTTTGGTCATTGGGTCGAATGGTGAGATTGTAATTTTATTTTTCTAAATAACATAATATAATTATATAAAGAGAAAATTTGATTTTTTTTAGTATTTTTAAATAAATATCATGATTTTATTTTATTTTTCTCAAACAATATCTCTAATTTGAAAAAAATACTCGAATCCTTCTTCAAAAAAATTTTCACCTGTTATAATATTTTTTGTCTGTTATAACATTTTAGCTACTAAAACAAAAAAATACCAAATATTATAAATGAACCAAACTAAATCAAAATATATTTGATATAAATAAACTCATAACCTCAATCAAATTAATTATAAGCTTAAAAATAAGATATTGTAATCATATATGTAAGCAATGACAATGGAAAAGACATAATATGATTATCACATATTATGTTTTTTAATAATATTTATAGTATTTTTTAATAGTATTTTCAGTACCTCAATGAAACATCATAAACGTAATCAACCCAATGATAATACTGTAACAATTTAACATTGGTAAAAAAAAAACAGATGAAAAAATTTGATAGAAAATTTCTAAGAGATATTTTAGGTATTTTTTTAATTAAAGATACTATTTGAAAAATAAAACAAAAGAATGATACCTTTTAAAAAATACTTAAAAAGGAACAAATACATTTATCATATTATAAAAAATATATCAAAATAATCAAATATGACGATACCGATGAGAGCGAGGATATACTAATGAGAAAGTAATAAGTGTAATAAGTTTTTCTTTCTTTTTTTTAATTGAGGGTTTATCTTTTTCGACCAATAACAATGACATATATCAACCAAAAATCTTACTGATTTTATATCAATTTGCTTGAACTTAAATATATGGTTATCAGAATTAAGTAATGCAATATTCCTGGAAACAACAACTGGGACAAAGTTGTTCCATCAACATGGAATTAAATTGGAGTACAACAAACCAACAAAAACAGTTGTGGATATTTATAAGTACTTTCTATCTCCATGATTCATTTTTTCAAGAACCAAATAATTTGTCAGGCTGTTGTTTCAGAGACTAGATATATAAATTAAGATTACAGATCTTGGGGTGCAGTGGATATTGGAAAAAGCTGCATCAACTTATGCTTGTTCACTGTCATACTCATCCAAGGATTCTCTGGAGTGTCTTATACTGATAGGAGCTAGTAATCATTGAATTCACATCTTCAATTGATGCTGGGTATAGCAAGGCAACCCATCTCAAGTACTCTGGGAAGAATCTGAAAAGTAGCCGATGAACAGTTAACAGACATACTATGAGGCAGCAAAGTTTTAAGCAGAATCACAAGAAACCTACCTCCCCACATCTCGCGTTGATTTTTAAGGACACAAACTCATCACACCTTGTCTTGCCTATGTTGATAACTGCAACAGCAGCATTTGCTTCATAAGCAGCTCTGTTAAGTAAAAGAAAGCAAACCAATCAAATTAGAATCTTCAGCGATGATAGAGAGGGCAAAAAATGAAAGATAAACTCCTTTGCAAGAGAGTAGCTTTCAAGTTTCAGTTTCAAACTTATGTCTACATTCACCAATTCAACAATCTGCAAATTTCACGAGTATGAAACTTTGAATTTCCTCTGATGAGTAGCAAAGAAAATGCCTTTGTGATTGTGGCACATTCACATTGCCATCACAATAATAAGAACAAGATTTAGTACTTGATACACTGGAGTTTAGTGAATTCCATGTTACATGCAGTTTAAGGAAGAGTCTAGCTCAAGACACTGGAGTTGATGCTTAATAAATGCTTCTTTCTTGCTGTAATGTTTTATGTGATCAAATTACACTCTACATTCTACATGATGAGAAAAGCAACTTGTGCTCCAGAAAAGACATGATTCAACAGAATCTAATTGAACGGAGGGAGGTGCTATTCATCAGCTACCCAAAGCTTCAAGAAATTACGTTTACCAGATAACACTCGATAGAATAGATGGTAAAACAATTTATCATGTGTTTACCAGATAACACTTGATAAATTGTGTCTAGTGCCAGTACAAGCAGCATACACATCATAGGCATCACTGTCAGCAACACAGGAATTGCAGATATGCATGTCCTGTTACTGATGTCTCAAATGAAGCAATGTAAATCCAGATAATTCCAGGATAGTGCAAGTAATTTATATGCTACAGGTGATAGCCTCTGGAGAAAAAGTGCTTCCTCTTTTTTGAGTCCTCCCATAAAACTGTGGAACCTACTTCATCAATCCAACACTATGCATTATAACAAAACTTGCAAATAAACTGTCATCAGTTTTCATTGGCGGACAGAATATTCCATGAACATTTCATCCTTTTATGAATAATCTAAAGCTTCATTTGTTAAAAATCCACTGCATTATCAACTATACCTATTTTCTCCTATTCATTCTACACCATCACCACCCTACTTCCCATTATAATCACCTCCATCAAGCCTATTACCACTTGTCTTTTTTTCCACCACCACCACCATGTCTCAATCACAATACTTACCATATTGCAATGCCCCCTATTCTGTCCACCTACCTCAAACACTCACTCTACCACAATCATCACCATGCCAACTTTTACATTTCCACAATAAATCGTGTCAACAACCACAGGAGACGATGAAGAAGACCAAAAAATAAAAAAGACGGAGAGAGGAGACTATGCCATTGTAGCCTATAGTCTTAAAAAAATAATGAAAAGATTAAAATTTATGGAATATTCCAAGTTTTGATAATAATTGAAACATGGGTTATTTGCAAATTTCATGAAAATGCATAATGTCAATTCGCAAAATGTTGATAAGGTATAGAATTTTTGTAATCACGCCATAAAATGGGGGTTACATGTAAAACACTACATATGGAACTGTTTACTTCCTCAGTTAAAGTAAGTCAAGAAAGCAAATCAAGTATCTATATAATACATCCTCAAATTCAAGGTGCTGACAAAGGAATACAACTGAGCAAGAAAGTAAGCCAATGATGTCTTTATTCATATACCTCACGATCCTGAAAGCAGACATGGTCATCACTGATGAACCAATGACTAAAAAACCATCACATTCTCTTGCAGTTTCTTTAGCCTTTTCAGCTCTGTCTTTGGGAACATTATCACCAAAAAAGACAACCTTCATAGTTCAAAAGAAAAGAAAAAAAAATCAAAGGCAAAAAAAATATTGCACCGACTATGGTACATTTAGCAATTCAGTTATGCAATAGCATTATGAAGATAAAATCCATCCAATAAAATACACAGGCGCATTATTATGACTTAACATAGAGATTTTCAGAGAATGGAGCACACATCCTCAAGGACGTCACAGTACAGTCGAAGAAAACTTTTGCTTCCATGGAAGAACAGTTGCAAAACAGTTGAATGAAAGAATACAAATTTTAACAATTACATCGGAAGGAAAATACCTACGTTGCCATAAAAATTATAGGCAATAGAATATTTTGGCATCTACAGTTATTTTCACATGAATTACAAACACAATGAAATGTTACATTAAAGGACATGTCAATGTTGTGCTAGTATTCCCACTGTCCCAAAAATCAGGAGCCTCATGCACTGGGTACACCCTTTTGTATAAACTCATGAATCCATATTCTAAAGTTATACATATCCATATGCCCGCAAGTTGATCACTTATAATACTTTCACTATACTGAATATTAAACAAAATAACAACAATAAAAGTGGCTCTTTTAGTGATTCCAAGAGTTCTTGTGAACTTAACATCCAATATTTCACATTCTACCAAACATTACAGCATAATCATATCATGTTTTCTCAGATTATTCTTCTATTTATTCTTTTATCTCCACTCTATCTCCTTGCAAAATTGGACACTTGGATACATGTCCATATCAAGTTCTCATGTCCAATTGTCCATGCCTATGAACAACTGCAACTACCATCAATAATTATTTTATGCTGATATTCAAAGCCAAATATTGTGACTGAAGCAACAAGAAATATTGATTGGTTTATCTTCGCTACATTTCCTTCTACTCGACCTTCATAATAGCTAACAATGGAATGATCAATCTCAATGTGACTAAAACAGGCACAAACTGTACAAGTAACATAAAAAATATCAGAACAAAAATGAGTGGTCAAATGTCATGTTTGCTTAGTTCTCTAAGTGTGCTCAGACATGGACAAGGCAAATAATAGATCGTAATTGAGCATGTGTAAAGTAGAATGGGTAGTTATCCTATAGTGTGTAACACGCTCACATCAGGTTTTAATATTCCACCACATTGCTGGCAGTTTGGAATTTCAAAATCCTCCTCCCAGAACTTGGCATCTATCTCAATGTCAGCATCAGGCCGTTGCTGCATGCCAAAACTCTTGTCGGAGCCAGGATCTCCACATTCCAGACTTTCGATTGCTGCAGCCCACTGTAACAGATTATAGTCAATCATACATTACCAGCACATTATACAACGATGCATACAAGAATAAAAATGCCTAAATTTCTTTTTTCCATTTTATCTTTTAAATAAAATATTTTTCTTCAAAATATGTGTCAACTGTAATTCAAACAAGTTGCTAAATATCAGATACATTTCACAAACTCAATGGATTAAGCAAGGAACTCCTTTTTGTCCAGACCGGTCCATACTGACCAGTTTACTGGTCCGAGCATGAACCATTACGTGGATTAAGCAAGGCTCACCCATTTCGAGTGGTCTCATCCACCATATTAAAAAAAAAAAAAAAACTTTGCATGCCTCCTTCTCCTTGAGGTCCATCCCCATTTGTGAGCCTTAACATGTGGAGTCCACCACCACCTACCTTGCCACACAGCCCACCATGCGCTGCTGACTGGGTATTCTTCAACTCTTCTCCTCCTCCTCTTCCTCCTCTTTTTTCTTCCTTTTCCTCCACCATCTCTTCTTCCTTCCTCTTCCTCTTTCTTCCTCCTATTCCTCCACAGCCTCTTCTTCTTCCTTTGTCTTCTCCTTTTTCTTTTCGGTCCATACTGGTGTATTAGTTCATTGGTCAGGCATGGACCTGTACAAGCGTCCAATATGAAATTGTGATCCTTGGACATAAGTACAACACTATGATGCAAATATAACCTAATCTAAATCATATCATTCAAAATTTTATTGCACCCATTTAGGTCTTAAACTATCATAATTAAACCATCTTGAAAAAAACGAAAGGGGCAACTTTGCAAAAAAGTGGATTTATGGCAACAATTGATTACATCTTTGACTCATCCATCAGAAAATCACTTCTTTATCCCAAGAGACATCATCTTCAAGTCAAAATCCAAATCAAGTCCAAACTAAACCCTAAAGAGAAGTCATACCCTACTCGTAACAGGAGATAGATCTATTCAAATTGAAAATATTTTTTTTGTCACCATTTTTATCATGTACTTAGAAATATGTACGTATTCTATAGATCATTTTTATCTGCACAAAGATAAAAATATGCATATATTAAATTTATCATGTACTACTATGGTCTTTTCAGTATGTGTAGTCTATAGAGAGACTCTAACATGTAAACTTAACAGTGCAACACTAAACCTTTTCAAATAGAATTTCAAGTTCCCCTAGTTCTTTCAACAATATGATTTAGTTGCAAATAACACACCTTTGGATTAAGGGCCTTCACCCTGTCTTGAAACGAATCTCGGTTAATGGAATTGTCACACTTTAAGCATACTACAGAATAGACAGTTCCATGCAATTCAAGCGGGTCACTACCGGCACGATGATGCAACCTGAAAAATATGATTGTACTACCAGTAATTCTGACCTAAAAGAACAATAGTATATTTTACAGAACAAAGGAGCCAAACATCATACCTATCCACATTTTGGGTGACCATATAATTAATTCGACCAAACTTCTCCAATGATGCTAAAGCACGATGAGCTGCATTCGGCTGTGCAGCAAGGAATCTTCTCCATCCAGCATAGCTCCTGGCCCAGTATCTCCTCCGAGCACGGCTTGAGCGAACAAACTCCTAATTACAATGTTTCATCATTATAAGACAGCAGTGTGATAAATCAATGATGGGTCACTTGTGAATTGAAGATATTAATTGGTCAAAATCCTATTCACCCAGAGACGGGAAAAAGGGACCTTAAAGAGTTGGGTTCGCACTGAAAGGAGACTCTTCAAAAACGATTACTCATAAAGTTTTATTTGCTGAAATTGTTCTAAAGAATAGAAGATGTCTAGATTGTAAAATTGGTTTTCAAAATAGGCTATTTGCACTTTTCTAACGTCCAATTCTACAATGTACAACATTGATCTGACATTCAAATATTTGACCATCCTCATCTTTAAATTGGTCTATCAAGCAAAAGGATATGGAATCTGCTTCCTCTGTATAGTTCTGTCAAATCAGCAACAAGGAGTCAGGATCTGCTTCATTGGTATAGTTCTCCTTACAAGTCGTTGATTGAATCGATCAGAAATACTTGACAACAAAAAGACAGTATTGGCTCATGTAATCTTTACTACACGCTACTAATACAGTTAAAGGTATCTGCTGTCAGCTGCAATTAGCATTATCTATAAGAGAAGCACAAAGCAACAAGGAACACCATCACTGGTACTGTTGGAAGCTTCTTGAAAACTAATCATTTCCAGTAGTCCAGAAAAGTGTAACATTAAAATGATAATAATATTTAGAATTTACACCACCATGTGCCAATGTAGGAGTTCACAGTGGCATCACATTGCACTGTATTTTAATTTCAGAAGAGAACAAGATAACATGACACTAAATACAAGTACACTGACAATAATTCCAATCACTCAATTTTGTATAGAATAAGAGCCTCAGAACTAAACATTTGCTAAATGCAAAACGGAATGAGTAGTCATAGATACTACACCAAATTACCCAAACTACAAAAGGGAAAATATCCTGAAAAACTATATAGTGTGTGTCATAGTTGGAATGTTCTCGAAAATTTCTATGCATTTTCTCCTCCAACAGGGGCAACCAAGTAGTGGAAGGACAAGTCTACAATTCCATAGAAGAGCAATATGTATACAAACTTGGAGAGCCTCATGATTCATGATCTTAGACGATGACAAACACCTAGTCAAACAGTAAGAAAGAAGATGTTTGTACATGATATATGATATCCTGAATATTGATTGACTGCTAGTTAACATGTTTTGATATTATATCTTCAGGTTGGTTATTGACAAGAACTCATTAAATTTATTGCTCAAACTCATATAACAAGCTAAAAGATTCTTTTGCTGCTCAGCCTAGAGCCTCAAGCGTTGTACAAGGATATGCTGTAATAACTCATTGCCTTCTAGGTGGAATTGTCACAACATAGATGTTCCTCTTAGCACAGTTGGATAATGGATATGATGATTAAGAGGCATCATGTCAATAAGATTTTTGAGGTTTAGACAAGGCTTAGCTCAGCACACCAATACCCAAATGTATTTTGATTTTATTTGAAATATGCTGCTTCCTAATGAAGTTTTCTTGCAACAAGCAATTAACAATAATTCATTGTAGACAACCCTCTTGTTATTACGTATGTAAACATTCAAGTTCTTTAAAAAGATGAACACATTCCATAACTTGATAAAACAAAATCTTGCTTTTGCAGGTCAAACTTCTTATCTGTCATCTGAAGCCTTCGATTTGTTAAATGGCATGTCACATGACTTTTGACACCTTTTATTCATACTAGCCCATTAGCATATAAACATCCAAACATACGCATGGTGCCTTCTACTTCTAATAGGCCATGAACCATGAACCCGATCAGAATTATTTGCAACGAATCCATAATAAGTGATCCAATTTTTTTCATCAGGTCTGGGTGAAAAACATTTAATCTATAAACCTAAAAAATATAGAAATGCATTTCCCTCTTGGATCTCAACCACCTCGACCTGCCCAGCAGCCATACTATTACATAATAAATCTGATGAAAAAATATGAGTGGGTTGAGCTGAACGTTGCTTTAAGGATCATTTAAAGTGCAGCAATTCAAGCATAAGGCAACTCAACCTGACTCTTTTGCATCAGTTTAATGTCAACAATAGAGATACGTTTCAAAGCAGTCTCAAAATTTTGAGCTGACACAATTAGGGAACCAGTTGCAGATATTACAGATTTTGTCAAGGACCTTAGTGACTGATAAATATGTGACTATTAATGTAGGAGAAAGCAATTTCCCAGATATGGCATCATCAATCTTTCCTTTGTGATGTAAGAATGTTTGCAGCCATTTCAAGAGAAGTAGAATGAAAAGAATCAAATACATCAAAAAGAGATATTGTAATGCCCTAAATTACATGTCTATTATTCATTTAACACATCTTATCATCTAAAACCATCATAGGGAAACAAACTATTTCTGCAAATTTGGCTTCAAGGTGCTGAGATTTCATGACGAAAGAAATGTGCTTTGCAGGTGCCATATAGAGTAAAAAGGAATACAGTGTCTTCCATCAATTAACATGATTTTTATGAAAGCTAAAGTCTTTGCAAACTTGGTTATTGGTTCTTCATCGCTTTAACATTGATAGGAAATAACATGCTTACACAACTCAGATGCAGTTAGAGATAGGATACATATTGCCATAAAATAGAACTGTAAAAAGCCAACTAATCTTCATACTCAAAAAGTAAAGCCCTGAGACATTAGAGATAGAGAATAACATAGCAAAGTCGAATCACCTGATGAGTAATTGGCTTAAATCCAGTACTATAAGCTCCATTTGGGCTGTCATAAAAACAATTCTTTAGCTTGTAAAAAAGAGGTCATATTTAGCCTTGAAAAAAGAAAGATGAAACCTGAGACATGCACCTTCTGTAATCAGGAATCCCCGATTCTGTGCTTATTCCTGCTCCAGTCAAAACCACAAGCTTGCGGCTGAGACAAATTAACAAACGTAGACTTAATGGCACAAGATCTTTGAAGCAAACTAGTTATGAAACTTTAATCTGATTCCCAATCATTAAAAACACGTTAAAAGGTTCAATATACCTCCTATCAATAAATTGATACAGAAGGTTGACATCTTTAACACTTGGAGGATCGGAATCAGGAACTATCTTCCTGTCGTTCAAATTTTTGAAGTGCGATCCATTTTGTTCCCTCAGTGTGGATTCATAAGTCGAATAACTGCTTTTAGCCAGCAATTGATGCATGCAGCATTTCAAGACAAGGCCCCTCCTTCTATTGCAAAATAGTCCACATGTCAACCTTGTCTGAACAGTTAACATGTGAAGGCGAGACCCTAACAGAGGATAACCAGTAAGTTAACTTGAGATCATGATGTGAGAGTATTGCCCTTGGAGAGACACCACCAAGTAACAAGTTAAACAGATAATAAGCTGACCTGCCTTCGGATATGGATCCAAGAACTTCTCTAAGTCTTTCAACAAGCTGCAAATTTTGCAAAGGAGAAAATCTGTTAGAGGAAATCAAAGATTCACTTAACACTATAAAAGGTTACTTTTTCCCCTCTTACAAAGGGCTTGAGAAAATTAACATAGGCAAGATGAGAAGAAACAAGATGGGATTAATACTAAAATGAAATAGAATAAAGCAAAAAAAGGAAAAAAACTGCTAACCTCACGGGAATAAGTCTTTAATATATTCCAAGTTCAACAAATAAATAGATATAGCAAATCTAGAATATAGGTTGCCTTCATGGATTTTTCAGAAACCAGTGTTTAAGTGGCAAGCCACAATTATAACGTCACAATTTAAGTGGCAAGGCACAAGTTTTCTTATTTAAATGGTATGGATTATACAGCACAATTCAAAATTAAGAAGACTCCACAAAACATTTTTAAAGGAGTTCTAAAAATAACCATTAACCAGACATTACTCCTGAAAAGGAGGTGCAGTGTTCCTGATTAATACAAGTCTAGTGGAAGAAGGATTCTTTTGAAAACTTGAGGGACTACATGACAGAAAAAAGGAAAATTTCTCAAACTAATAAATGAAGTAGCATACCTGAAAAAAGAGAGTGAGACAACAGAATGCAACACTAAGCTCGATGGTACAAGAGAAGCCAAAGAGGATGTAAAAGGAAATTCAAACGGTAAAAGGATAGATTGAAAGCAACACTGTGACGAGATTCCACAAAAGTGAAAATAATCGTGAAGTGATCACCAAAAGTTAAACTAATTCTCAGATAAGACATGAGCGAACTTGCCAAATCCAGCAGGCCTTTTTAACCCATTATCTCTTAGTTCTTTCTGTAGCGCGCATTCCGAGCCAGAAAACCTCAAGCACTAATATCTCAACAAACAAGTGACTAAAATCAACTCATATTACTATCAGGATTGTCTTATTCTATCTCCGGTTCACTCTTTCTCAAATCCCTCCGGGAAATCGACGCAGCAGGAAGAACGGACCTTTTCTCTTAGTTCTTTCTGTAGCGCGCATTCCGAGCCAAAAAAACCTCAAGCACTAATATCTCAACAAACAACTGGACTAAAACCAACCCATACTACTATCAGGATTGTCTTATTCTGTCTCCGATTCACTCTTTCTCAAATCCCTCCGGGAAATCGACGCGGTAGGAAGAACGGATCTTTTCTACGAATTCTTCCTACTCCTACAAGGCCATCGCCACCGATCGAGAAGCAGTGAGATCACCTTCAGGGACGACATTCCAAAATCGAGACCTTTATACGGAATAATTCGCTCCCAAAATCTCGTATTTCTAAGAATTCACACAAATGATCTGAAGTGGGAAAGAGCAGGGAGCTTACAACAACCGAAGGGCGAGAGGTCGCCATGGTCATCGCGATCGCCATGGCAGGGAGCGAGTGATCGTGAACAACTCGGGCGGAGGCGGGGGAATTGAGGCGAAGCCGCAAAGAGCGGGGGCCGTCGGAAGACGGCCACGTAGCCGCCTTCCCTACCGTTTGCTCTTTGGCGTAGGCTACAAAGAAGAGTAATAGATTTCTCTACCCGTCTGTCAATGACGCATGCAATTACTCGTGTGCTGGTTGGGAATATACCATTAAATACATGTGGGAGCCACCTGCTGGGGCATCCTAAGGTTTTTGAGTAGAAAATAATAAGAGAAGGATAGAAGGGTCTTTTGACGAGAGTTGGGATCCTCTCCAAGATTTTTGAGTATTATACGAGCATAACACAACCACCGTTTGATATCTTGGAGAGGATCGCACCCCAGTGCCGAAGTCTACACGCCCTTCCCTTCTACTTCGAGTCCCGGAGTCGGCGAACGAAGAGACAGGAAAGACGAAGGGAGATGATCATCCCCGTGCGCTGCTTCACCTGCGGCAAGGTTTCTTCCTTCTCCCCTTCACGCTCTTGTTGATGTTGTCTATTCTTATGATTGCTCTGGCGATTCGCGTCCGTCGCCCGATCAATCTAGGGTTTTTGTTCTGTGCGTTTTTCTTTCGTTTCCTCCTTTTTTGTGTTCTTTCCTGCTAGGTTTGATGTTTTGGGGCGGTTCTTTGGATCTTGGTTTAGGTCATTGGCAACAAATGGGACACGTATCTCGACCTTCTCCAGGCGGATTACACTGAGGGGTAAGGATAGTCTGATCGATGTTTTCTTTGGTAGTTTGCTTTTTTTGCTTTATTAATTTTTTTTATCAAGATAGTTTTCTTTTTTTTTAATTTAAAGGGATCGGGTGATCACTCGCTCATCATCACTTTGATCATTTAGTTTTACTCCATGGACAATATCTTCATCAATCTCTCCAGCAGGTTCAATAATCTCCATCTTGTTGAATAATCGAATCAAGATAACTAAAACTTTTCCTTATTGGAACTTCTTGTCCATTTATCTTACCATATCCTTAGTTCTTCCTGTAGTACTACTAAAATGTTTTCACTTGATCTAAATTTTCTTGGATTTATTGGTGGGGTTTGATATGAATTCTTTCAATTATTTGATATGCTTTTACTGTTTGAATAATGATTGTTGTATTTTCGACATTGCTCAACACATTCCAAGTTGTGTCAATCATGGATGGACCATGAGGGGCAATATTAATTGGTATAACACAGGATCTATTGCGCTTCAAAGGTTTTTGCAGACTGTTGTGCTGTGAAACAATAGTCAATAAGGTTGTTAATGGATCAATTTGACAGCTTCATAAGGTGATGAGATATGATCCTCTTATCAGGGCTTCATTTAATCAAGAATATTAGAAAAATCCTTCCAAACTATTAGAAAAATAACTATATATATATATATATATATATGTGTGTGTGTGTGTGTGTGTGTATGTATGTATGTATGTATATATATATATATAACACCAAGGGGGCTTGTGGGAAAAAATCTTCCTTTTATAATAATTGTGTCCCTCTCCAAAATTCCGTTGACTTCCAATGCCATTTCTCATATTAAACTGCTTGTCTAACTTATACTATAATCATATTAGACTATTAGCACTTCTGTACTCCATATAGATACAAGATAGGAGTAACTATGAAGAATAATGAGGAAAATACATCGAAAGATAATAGATAGTACTACAAGTATAAATTGCAAAAGTATCTCAATTATCCCTATCATTTCCTAAATCAATTGGGAGTGAGTTGAGAAGGCTTTGACCACTTGGCTTCGATTACATAAATAACAAATGAGATTGATTCAAAGGTGAAGCCAAAAGGCAATCAATTATGGAAGATTAATACGAAATTACTAAATATAGTGGTGCACTTCAATCTTATTAAATTTGGATTCAAGAGAAAGAAATTTTGGAGCTTTAATAATTCATCTAGAACATCATTTCTATATTACCTGTCACTAATGGGTCAAATAAACCTTTATGGATTAAATGCATCAAGCACTGTTTCTTTCTGTCAGACCTTCTTAATGCTGTGTGGCCATCAACTCTGATGTGTGGCCATAACCAACGTAACTCAGCATATGAGATTTCTGTCAGGCTTTCTTGATTTTGTTAAATTTTGGTTTCATGCATCCTGTTCATCATGCCACTGCATTTTCACAATTAATTGTTAGGTATTATTACTTGTCCAGTCACATCTGAATTCACCACATGTAATACCACCAACATGGTTTACAGGGCACATACAGAAGCGAACATGACATATGCTGACATTTATATTAATGTTGACCATGTAGTAAATCACATGCATGTGAGTATTGTTTACCTCGCTATTTCCATATGTTGGTGTTCTTCATTGAGTTGCATAGCATCTCTACATATTAAGTGATCCCACAAGTTGTACATGTCCATTTCACATTCTTGTGCCCATTGTGGTTCATCGGATAATGGTTGGTAAATGATGAATCTATAGGGATGCTTTGGATGCTCTGGGCTTGGTCCGCTATTGCTGTAGGCGAATGCTTATGACTCATGTTGACCTTATTGAGAAGTTACTGAACTACAACAGTAAGCTCTTTCGAATCCATTACCTTCCATGTGGATTACATTTGACTCATTTACTTGACACACGTGTTAACTTGTATGTTAATTTGTCCTCTAACAGCTCTCGAGAAGACTGATAGTTAAGGAGATGATATGGTGGAAAAGAGTATGATTCTGATCCGGGCGTCACGTAATTTTGTTTGATGTGTTGGGCATTATGAATAACATTCTGTAGTGTTTTTATTGTATTTCATTCTTATGAGAATTACAAGTAAGATGGATTTCTAAGTTGTCCAGAATATTACCTGTTGAAAGTCTTTTAAGTTTGGTTTGCAATTGCTGCTTGGTCTAGAAATCATTTTTGTTTGTGTGAAGAGAAGGATTACATCAGCAACTTGATAAGTATGTGAACCATCAAAAACATATTCAAACTGTTCCCCAAGTAAATGCTCAACATGATGATGATGATGATGATTATATAGTTTTCAGTCATTTACAACAGCAAGTGATTCTTCTTCAGCAACCAACAGATGCTGGGCATGCTTTTTCACCCATGAATTTGTATGTTTCAAAGACAAATATCGTTACAGACGGTGGGGTGGGCATGCATATTTCAGGTGTACAGGGTGTCCTTGAGGTTTAACCCTCTTGGCCTGTGAGAGTGCATGTAAGATAGATCTAGGATGTCCTTGGGAAGGAGAATGATCCATCCCTCTTGGACTAAGATCTAGATGTCCTTGTTAGGAGAATGATCCATTCATCTTGAAACTTACTCGATATAATAAGAGCATGTCATGCACGTGTTATCATATTTTACTGTATATACATATAGGCAGGAAATGAGTGTTCAACTGGCTGGTAAATTTTGTTAGAATTAATAATTTTAATTTTTATTGGACAGATAATTGACCTGACTTGAGGGGTCTCTACTCGCCAATGCTTTTTCATAAGTAGGGATTGATTGTTATACAGCGTTGCAGTAATAAATCTCTATTTTTGAACATATATATATATATATATATAGAACAGCCGTCAAACTGAGTAGAGAATAGAAATGAATAGCATCTCATCTCTCCTCTTTGAGAGTTTGCTGGTGACAAAATAATATGTAAAGAACTTGATTCTTCTCTATGTTGTTTGTTAAATACATAGAGCTGAGTTGCCTAAGATCCACAAGAAAAAAAACCTACTTCAAAACTTGAACAAAAGGATTCCAATAATGTTATGTGAGGCGATGGAACACTAATAGAAACATGAGCAGTCCCGACATATTTGGCAGATAAAGAACAGTGACTTCAAAAAAGGGCAGGGCTTGTTCCTTCCAGAGGCTTAATTAAATTACACAAATTTTCATTAAGACAAAATTAAGCATGCAAGCCCCGTTCTTTGCGCCTTTAGACAGTTTCCTGAAGAGCTAATCGCATTACTTAGCATGACTTGGGAACCACATTCTGAGCAACCTCATATTCTGGCTCTTTGTTCTGTCTTCGAATCAAACTGGCATATGCGCTTGGAACCCCAATACCAAGCATCAGCCACATTGTCTGAAAACTGCATGATGCGCCAACTCAGACTTAAAATAGACCTGCCAATTTCAAAAAAAATCTCAGTAGAAGCTGGGACAGATTGAGTTAGCAAATCCAAAAGAATGGAAAACAAAATTTTGCTTGTTAAAATGACATCAGTGATATACTTTACTCGCATCTTCTCTGTAAACAGAATCACAGTTAGAACGGTGCATGGAACAATTGCATCTCCTGTTTCATATTAGGCACCGGCAGCACGTCTTGCAGTAGCTAAACAAGATTCAGTTTCATCAAGATCATCTGCAGCTGATCTGACTAAACCATGCCTTTTCATTTCACTGGCCATCCTGCGTTTAGCTTCTAGGCAAATGAGGAGAGCTGTCATGTCAGCGGGGCTCACACCACCAACTCTACTTGCTTGACCAATCGTTTGTGGCCTGACCTGCCAAAATTTATCGTAGCACCACATAATATAGTTTTCTAGCATTTGCACAAAATGCATGCAGTTGATAAACTACAGTTTTAAGCTGGATCAAGATCAATCTTCTTTAGTGACAGCAACAAATTTTAGAACCCAACTACTTGGTGTCAGCTACACTAAAATTCCCATCACCTAGATCTGTTGAGAACAACATCAAAACTACACCGAGGCAACATGAAAAATAATAAACAAAACAACACATTTGTCATGCCTGGTGCAATAATAATCTGATTGGCCAAGCTTGAAACTGGCCCAATTTAAGTTTGGATTAAATCATGCCCAATCATATCTGAATCGTGTCAGTTTCAATCAAACTTGGCGCTTTAGTATTGTAATTGGGTCTTTAATCAGGTTGAAACTCTCATTCTCATTCTAATTATGTCATTGAGGCTATTGAAATGTTCATGGTATCAATCTGATCAACAGTTTAATATATATATTCAACCTAGCTGAGGTTGAGGATCTAACTAATGAAATGGCAGAGAAGCCATATAGGAAGTCTTGAAACATAGCTATGATAAAATAGGTTCTCTTTTAGTAATGTATCAAATGGATCGAGAAACTTTCTTCCATGGGTTGCATCACAATAATGGACTTTGCTTCAAACACTTAATATGGATGAGATGTTGTTCTTAGACTTCTCATAGCTTTCCTTTTTAACAACACCCAACAAGATCACCAGTTTCATAAAGCAAATCTTATCGAAGTTACATACCTTTGATAGCTTCTCACGTGCTTCCAAAGATAAAGTTGTCATCGAATAGTAATCCAAGTCCTCTGGAAGTCTTTTATGTTGTTGATTAACAATCTGACAAAAAAAAATGTAGCAAAAATTAAGACAGTATGGCAAGCCTACAGTCTTATAATTCCTATTATATGTTTACTATATCTTCTAAACAGAACTGATATATCAGCAATAATTACTTTTAAAATAGGATTATTCATCTCATAAGGTTTCAACAGGTAGTTAGGTACTTCCTGGTTTATTCGGAAGTTTCCAAACAAAAATAATAGAAATTACCTCGAATCAAGGAATAAACCACAGTATACTGCATTTTCAGTACATATCAGTATGAGGCTAAGCCAGATCAGGGACCAAGCCACTAATGGTTGGTATAATAAAGGGTAAAACTAGACCAATATAGTCATTTAAAAAATCTGGTATATAGCACATCTAGCGATGGGATCCCTTCTAGCGATCATTTAACCTATTGAAATTCTCCTATAGCCACAAGTTGGAATCAATAAATAGTATGAAGATCAAACAAACAATGTAGATGATAAACTTGCAAAATCCAACAAAAACAACCAAGATGCTGCTTTGCCAGTACCTATGAAACTAAATGATGTCAATTTGACCATCAAAACTGGAGAAAATAACAGATTTGTGAATTATGGTACCTTTGAAGATGTAATACAGATATCTAAGAGAATCCAAAATTTTGGCTTATCATTGACTTTTTAGGGTTATTTCAACAATAAAAAGAATGTGAACTGAGAAAAAGCAATCTAGAGCTGACAAGAGAGGCAGACATAGACAAGTTGCAAGATACCAAGCACATGGTGATTATTGCAATATTTGCAAACGTTACTCTGAATCCATATTGGAGGAAATGATTTAAATAACCATCTCCACATAGTCAACAATTGGGTCTAAGTCATCTTATATTGATGCTTAGGAAAAGCGAGAAAACTTTATGACTTGTGGTAGGCCAGCTAAAGATACAAGCTTTAACAAACAACACAAATTGGATGGTCTGATAATATGTAATGATGTTAATTATTTGTTCTTTCAGCCTCCTAAATTCAAGAAGATAATGGGATGCAAGGAGCCAATCAAATATTTCATTTGAACTTCAGATTTATGTTCTAGGGCAGATCATGATATATACACTTAGAATTATTGATGCAAATTATGAATCTGCATAAGCGAAAAAAAATGAAGAATATTTTTAAAATCCAATTTAGCTTCCCTAGGCAGAGAAAACCACTTATTTCAGATAAAATAATTAACCTGTTGCAGCTGGCTCCTTTGGCGTGCAATGAAGCCCGCATACTTTATATCAATCTCAACGCATTCTTTCTCAATCCTGGATAAAAGCTCATTACCGTAGCCATGCTTGTCAAGGACCTTGTATTCTACATGTGGTTTTTTTAGAATGCTTTCCAATGAAGATGAATCTTTAACTGGTTGCCCAGATAAATGACTAACTTCAGCAGCAAAATCACCCCCTGTTATTAGAACAGAACCATCACATCATGTGATGAACTATAAAAAAAGGGCAGATAATATCCAACGGATGCATGCGGTCCCCCATATATGATCATAAAACCCAAAATAAGGTCCTGATGTATGAACTGTCTTATAATATATGAGAAAGATAGCTAACCTGAAATACGTACAGACTTCAGACGTTCTTTCTCCTCCAATATTCGAGCTTGCTTTAATTGGTATAAGTTCCAGCGTCTTTCATCTATTAAACCAATATCCCACCCCAAAGGAGTTAGCCGGCTGTCTGCATTGTCAGCACGGAGAAGTAATCGATGCTCTGAACGGCTGAAGTAGATAAAACATCATTACAAGTTGAATCGGTGAGAATTCACAAGTTAAAAATCTACATGAACTACTTGGGCCTTGTGTATTGCCAATGAACAAAAGCAAGCCATCAGTGCATGACATCCAAAACATACGCATCATAATGCGTGAAGCTCAAACAAATGTTCAGTGCTTTGCTTATTGCAACTATCAGAGTTTCTTTATATTAGACAAGTTCATTCGCCAATTAAACAGTCATCTCCAGCAGAGCTAAACATCGAAAGTTTTCAAATAAAAACACATAATACCTCGTTAACATGCGATAAGGCTCTCGTAAATCTTTTGTTACAAGATCATCAATCAAAGTGCCAATATAGCTGCTTTCTCTCTCAAGAATGATAATAGATTTTCCATCTGAATGTCTAGCAGCATTAATCCCAGAAATAAGACCCTGCACATCAAACAAAAGAAACCAAAAAATACCTCAAAAGTTGTATACTCCACTAAGTCCACTATTTGTATACGGAGGTACCACAATCTAGGTCCTAAATGATAAGAGCAAGAAAACAGATGAATCTATCAAATGTGGCAGGACTACACAATGCATAACCTGAGCTGCAGCTTCTTCATAACCTGTTGTTCCGTTGATCTGACCTGAGAAAAACAAACCTTCAATCTTCTTCGTCATTAGAGATCTAGAGCACTGATGGGCAGGCAAGTAGTCGTATTCCACAGCATATGCAGGCCTTAGCATCAAACAGTTTTCAAGTCCAGGTAATGTTCTTAAAAGTGTCAATTGCAGCCTCTCAGGTAAACCAGTAGAAAATCCCTATCAGACAGAAAAATGTTGTCATTCAATATATAAAACAGTGAAGATGAACTATATATCATATAGCGGCACCAAGGGAACAAAAGAAAGCATGATAAATTACATAAGCATGTCCTAAAACAAGAATGCGAGGAGATCCAAGAAAATGTAGAAGAGTTACACATAAAACATTGAAGCATAATGATATCACGAACCAATCAGGAATCCTTAACAAATCAATGAATATTATAACATCATGCAGGTATTCTGATCAACTAAATGGTAGAACATGCTAAGCCAATATCGTCTACATTGATTGCACAATTCACAGTATGTCAAAATGCAGAAGACAGAATTAAAGGTCACTGAATGCTGCAGTGATCATCATACTTAAAAACTCCAAATTATAATTGATTTAGAAGAAAAAGAACAACCTGCACATAGAGATCGGGAACAGTACGGCCTTCAGGTTCTAGAAAAATTTGATGGGAATCCTTATCTTGGAATCGTACAATCTGAAAACAAAGTTAGTGGTTACTTAAGAGAAAAGATATGATACCTACAACTAACTCCTAGACAGAATGAAGTAAAAAATAACAGGTGCAATAAAAGATAATTGCTCTTCCCTGATAACAACTAACTCCTAGACTCAGAATGAAATAAAAAAATAAAAGGGTGCAACAAGGATAATTGCTCTTCCTTGATAACAAATAACATTAGGTTCTAACTGAATACTAGTGTACTACCTTATCTTCAATAGATGGACAGTATCTTGGGCCTTTTGCTTCTACCCAACCACCATATGTGGGTGTCTCATGTAAGTTGTCTTTGATAAGTTGATGGGTGTCTTTTGTGGTGCGTGTCAAATAACAGCACATTTGCTCTCGCTCTACATGGTAATCAGGATCGAAGCTAAACCAATTAACCTGTTACAGAAAAAAAGGGTTAAAATAGTAAATAAAAAATTGCAATTATACATATCAGTTTCACAACAAAATTGACAATAGTATATTGCTCCTAAACCATTTTTTACAACAAAATTGACTATAGTATATTGTTCTCAAACCATTTTGTGACTATGAAATGGAGACCATATGATCCACTAAATAGGAGCCCTTGGGTGTACATATTGATAAACTCAACAGTGCATGTTTGCACACAGGAAGATCAATGCATTTTAATCAACGAACCAAAGTTTATAATATTCTATTTTAGTTGACTTGAGGAAAAATCAGCTGAGTTGTTTTTACACACCCATGACAGGGTAATCTTATACAGTGTACATAAGTTTATTCACGAAGTTTGTAACAACAATGCACAATTTTAATATACCATGTGAGACTTGAATAACACCAGTGGTGAACACTTGACAAGTAAGTCTAAGTAAGGTCCCACTAAATATGAGACTAGAGAAAGAATATAGAACACATTTCATCTAAAAGTTATCCATTGGCAACCTATTCAATCTGCATAAAAAGACAAGATTTCTTCACAAATTACTCATTCGAGTGAAATCAAACATTGCTAAAGATTAAGCAATGATTCCACTAGATAATTGATAACTTATATTCCATGACAAAATTTGAAAAATACTAATAATCAACAATTGTGCTAGTTAAAAAAAGACAGCATAAAGAAAAGTTCATTCATTGTGGAGCAATCAAAAGCCTTTTACTGTGTCATGATCAACCAAAAAGATATGTTGAGCCATCGACAAAGCCATTAAGCTATGCTAACAACATAATGATATGAAAGCACGCTTTGGCCTAACAGGACATATAAGAAAACCAATCACATTAGAACTGCTCAAAATGTCTCAACCAGGAGTAGCACAGCTACAAAACCACAAAAGTTTCTTGTTAGAGAAGAACATATATGCAGGGAGATTATAGTCTATGTATCACATTATAAGAATGTTACTAATGTTATTGTTCAAAATAATATACATTTAATTATAAGAAACTCTCAATTATAGTTATTGATGTTATCACAATCCTGCATGAGCTTATAACAGTAACTACCTCTTCATCTCCATGCTGAGGTTCCAAACCAAAGAAGTTAACACTACGGTAGTCGACACGTGCAGGGGTTCCAGTCTTCAACCGGTCAGTCTCAAAGCCAAGCTGTTGCAAGCTCTCAGTTAGCCCATGAGAAGCTGACTCCCCAGCTCGTCCTGCAGGCATTGATGTTCTACCAACCCAGATCTTACCGCTCATAAAAGTGCCTGTTGTGAGCACCACTGAAGGAGCATAGAAGTTCATGCCAAAGAAGGTGGACACTCCTTCCACAGTATCATTCTTGCCTACCAAGATATTAGTCACCATAGCTTCTCTGATAAAAAGGTTTGTGGTGCTGAAAAAGTAGCACTAGTTAGAAAGCCATGTAGTATCTGTAATACCAATTCATAAAAGCCCCTAAAATGCCCCCATCAAAATATTTCAGAAAGCAATTTGATATTTTTCAAAATTTTATGTCTGAGAAAATGAATGAACTTCAAACCAAAAAATGGTACATGCAGAATAACAATCAAGAATCTGAAACAATATGTCCAATCATTCCTGAATCCCTGTTCTTATGCAAAAAATCCTAATTTCAATATTATGGCAAAGTAAATATTAAACTCATACTGACATAAAATATAAATAGAAACTAATTAGTCTTCTTTGATATGGAAATGAATAGCATTTTCCTGATGAAGGCAATCAGGCATGGATACATACATAGAGCATAGGAAAATCAGTACATGTATGTTTCCTATGTGTTTTATAAATTTATCTGTTGTGCTGCTACTGCTACTTAGATAATTACTATACATTAAACTATTTAGATAATTAATGATCATTATATACGAAAATCATAAGAAATATGAGCACTTTTAAGAACAAAAAGTGTTTACAAGAACAAGGATTGTCATTCTGTAGCACGGCATTGTGTTGATGTACCTATCAAGCTAACAATAATCTCAATGGGTACCAGCAGTTTCAAGTCAGCAAACTGACAACAGGCTACTCATTCTTGTCCTTAGATTTTCTTTAGCGATCAAACACTATGATTCACTATGCAGATGATGTAAAACTTTGTAAGAGCATGTCAAATTGGGGACACAATAGATTAGCACAATATTTGAAGTTTTGCATGAACTAGACACATAGGTTTAGCATCATTAATAATCAAAGCCTAGTTAAAACTACATTTATTTCAAAAAAGTATAAACTAGTACATTCTTCATAATATTGGTGCTTAACTACCCACATGGACCTGCCAACATTAGGTATAGGTAGCACGAGAAGAATAAAGAGAATAATCAATTCTTTGTGCAAATAGACTAACCTTTCAACAACCTTTTTCATTTCCAAGGCATACTCCCTCTTATCAGTCTGAGCACGCAATGCTCGAACAGCAGGACCTTTTGAACGGTTGAGAACACGTTTTTGCAAGTAGCACCTGGTGTGGTAAGAGATCAGCAAGAATTATCAGACCCAGGTTAAGGAAGGCGAGCAACAAAGATGGTAATCCCAATTCCCAACCCCAACTGCAATGAAGTGTATGAAGAAAATAAAATTGTAAATGATCTTTTAACTAGGAACAATTGCAACTAGCACTAGTTCATAGGTGTGGTGCCATAAAGGGTATACGAGACCCATTTACTGTGACAAAACCTTGTACTCTGATAGACCAGAACTCTTATGGACAAAAGATGATAACCAAAAAATCTTACAAAATTTCCAAGTAAAATGCAGTGAGATGGGGTCAATTATAATGACCAGGTGGCACAAAGGTAACCCTTGCAATTACACGAAATGAGGCACAATTTTTACCAGATAAAAAGCTTCCACTTATCAAGAATTAAGACAAATAAAATCAAAATCTGGATCTGCAAGTTTAACAAAAAAAATATCAATTCAAAGAGGAAAATGGTAAGATGCTTATACTGCACCAAAAAGAATTTGGCTGCTTGATCTTGCATGTCACAAAGCTTGTCTTGTTGTAGTATGTTGTAATATGTTGTAATAAATTGTAATAAACTTTATGATGCACTAGTTAACATATTGCAACAAACACAGAAGTGAAAAAAAAAAAAAAAAAACCAAAAAACAAATAGTTCAATTTATGAAGTCCCAACTAAATTATGAACCAAAAGAAATTAAGAAGCATGAATAAGCATCCCCACAGAAACAAATTTCTCACAGAAATTCAATTAACAATTTCAAGAATCCAAGTACCTGCTTAAGAAAATATATGGTGATTAATTGAACAACAAATTAAACTAGTAATATATCAAAGTCAACCATTATGGGAATTCTACCTATCAGCAATTTTCCCTATTTCACCACCAAGTGCATCCACTTCATGCACCAATTGAGATTTTGCAGGACCACCAACTGCTGGATTGCAGGGCTGTGTGCCAAGACATAAGAATTCAAAATAAAGTGAGACAAATATGTTATGTCATAATTTAAGAAAATTAAAAAAAAGAGCTGTATCAGTTATCCAATCAACATACTCGATACTCAAAATGAACTTTCAACTTTTAGTGTGCCTAGAAATGCCATGAAATTTAAACAATAATAAACAAAAAACAATGATAAATGTCAAAATTACAAAATTAACCTGCCATGCAATGCGATCAATGTTGAGGGTGAGAAGAAGAGTCCGGGCACCAAGACGAGCAGCTGCAAGTGCAGCTTCACAGCCTGCATGCCCTCCTCCTACTACTATGACATCATATTGTTCCTCAATTGCTTTGGAATTATCTTTCACACCTGTACATTATGACAAAGGAGCTTCATGCCGTGGAATACAAACTACTGATTTCCAGAGTATGATAAATTCATAATATAAACATTTTGTTAGAGGCAGATCTGCTAAAGATTCCAATTCCAAATAATTAAATTGATTTTGCAGCTAGAATATATGTTCAGATACACGGTATCAGAACCACAAAAATGTAGAGATGACTAGATTCAACCTAGGATTTCATGCTTTTGTATTTGGTTGGAGAATTTCATGTGTATATTGTGCTTGGCTAGGATTAACAAGGTACGTAATCTCAAGGATTTCCAAGTTCCTTAGGTAACCCAGGAATTCAAATCACCATACTTTCAGCAACTGACCAGAATTGCCAAACTGCTGGTTTCAACTGGAGACACGAGGGTTTTCTTGCTTAAAATCCTAGGATTTCAAGGAAAATGCCCATACCACATAGGGCCTTATATTAGGTTAATGGGGTACAATTTTCAAGTGACATTTACTTATCAAGACAAAGCTCCAAGAAAAAGTTGTCATGGTCTATAGCCTTGAGGGTTTTGAATGCCAGAGAAGTCTCCATCCTAAATCAAACAGCCAAGCTTCAAAGAGCTTTATTCACATCTCAAAACAGTAACCCAAAACATGTTATCAGCCTCTCCATATAGTGCTCTCCAGGCTCTCCATAATCACATGTACAAGCAACCTCTTGTAAGGTTTTTATCAATAATCCAAATTCCACCGCTAATTTAAGACAGAAGAACATTCGAATCCATGAAACCTCTCATATGGTGAATCTTACCAGAAACAGTGAGTATTTTCCACCAACAACCAATAAAGAATGATTGCCAGGGATCATTACCCAATTTCATAACTGTGGACCTAAAAAACCAGCCCCAAACACTGAAATCTCCGGTCAGGAAAGCCAGGTGCATAGAATTCTCGCGTATCAATCAAGAAATGGATCGGGTATACCTTGGGCAAGGGTAGTAAGCCCTCGGCGATGAGAAGAGTTACATCTTCTTGACAAGAGAAACTGCCTTCGGAGAGGACGGCGAACCGGAGACGGGAAGAGAAGCGTGCG